TCAGGGAGCCAGGGGCAGTGCGGGCCCTGGGGGACAACGAGTGGAGTGTGGGGTCTGTCCAGCCAACATCTTCCCACTTTCCCCCTGGTCTGCAGAAAAACTGAAGCAGCCAGAAGTCAGGTCTGAGTCCCTCCCCCAGCCACAGGCTGCCTGGGGCTGACCTTGAGGGCCATTGCCGTGGTGCCAGTTGGGATAGGGCCATCTCCCCTCCCTGGCCCTGTCCTTCCCTTGCTGTCTCCATGGCCATGACTGCTACCAGAGGCCCGTGGACACAGCTCAGCCACACATCCTGGGCCCCAGAGGGGAGCCCACCAGCTGTCCCAGCTCTCCGCCCCRAGTGTCAATACTGTCCACCAAGGTACCCCCTGGCTTGGCCAAACCCTCCTCTGCATTCGGATGAGGCATGATTCCTTCAGTTCTCCGCTGGTGTCTGGGCACTATCCTGGTACCCCTCCAGGCTGTGCAGGCTTGGGTTCAGATGTCCACTTCAGTCCATGGGTCGTAGTTGTACATGGACATCAGAGTGGGAGGAAGAAATGGACCCGGGCCTGCACCCGCTCTGAGGAGCTTCTGCCATGTTTTCAGGAGCCTTAGGCAGGGGTTGGGCGCTGCCCCCCACTGCCCGGCTCATATGTGGCAGCGCCACGAACCCTGCAGATCAGACTGAACCCTGCATCACCCCAGAGCTGGGCCCAGGGCACGTCCCAGGTAAGGCCAAGGTAGGGCACGGGCCAGGGACAAGTCCTGTGAGGGCCAGGCATTCCAGAAACAGGTTCCAGATTCAGGAGGCAAATCCACGGGTGGCTTATTTTCCTGCAGGTCTGGTTGATTTGGTTGTTTTAAAGGATCCAGGACAGTGTTCAGAGGCACTGATCCCTGAGCAGGAGTGGCCCTTGTCCCCTGAACCCAGCCCTGTGGCTCCCACAGGTGTGACGATGAGTTGTGTGGCAGTAGACGGAGCAGGGGGCTGGGATGCTCTGCCTGTGCCCAGCAGGGGAACCCCAGGGCTTGCCACCCTCTGGAGTCGGGCAGGCTGGAGTTAAAGTGGGGGTGTCCACACGCCAGCATGCAGGTGGGAGTGCGCTGCCACCTCGGCCTGGGCTCGTCAACCTCAGGCCCTGTCCTGACTCAGGGCAGGCAGTGGCTCCCTGACAGGACCCAGAACTAGGAGAGGAAGCTGCCTAGCTCCTGGGGCCACAGAGAGGCTGGTGGGGACGGGGACCCTTGAGTCCACTGTGAACACAGCTGGGTCCCCAGTCTTCTGGACGAGGTGCTCCTCTCAACGCAGGCACTCATGGACCTGAGGCCAGATGGAAGGGGTCACCAGTGCCCCTGCTGCAGGGGCAGAGATGGCTCCAGGAGGTGCCCAACCTGGCCCTGGCCCCAGGAAGCACAGTCTTGGGGGTTGGACTGGATTCAAGCCCCCCTCCTGCTGCCCTGGGGCAAGGGGACCACAGGGCTGCCAGAACCAGTGAGGGCACGGGCAGGCAGGCTGACCGGCCCAGGGCTCAGGGCGCATGGCGGGAGACTGACCTGATTTGGACGTGTGTCTGAGGCTCCTTTCTTATCAGCCAAAACCCTGAGCAACTCCTTCACCAACTGCCCCTGCCACTGGGAGAGGCAGGTGACCAGTGGAGCTGTCCAGTCCCAGGAGGTCAGCAGCCTGCAGCAGCCCAGCCCAGCCCCCAAGAGGCTTTGCTCAGCCATCTGACCTGGGGCTGCCTGTCTGGTCAGCTTGTTGCCCCATAGACCTTGGGCAAGAGCTCCCAGGGGACAGGGAACCTCCTAAACCCCATTCCCCACCCCAAGGCACCAGGGAACACCCCACAGTGAATCATGTCCCATTGGGAAGCACCTGGATCTGCTCCCAGCCCTGCCCCCCACTCTGCCCTGCCCCCCACTGTGCCCTGCCCTGGAGCCACTCAGGGTCACCGAGCCCTGCTGGTGAACCACTGTGTTCAGGGCCATCTCCTGGCTGCCCTAGGGAAAGACATTCTCAGAGGAAGGGCTGTTGGCTGCTATGGCCATGGGGTGCCATGTCCCTGCCAACCGAGCTGCTCTGTCCCACTCCAGAAGAGAGCTCTGCATGCCACCTGTGCTAGCCAGGGCAGCCTACATGGCCCAGATGTCGCGGTGGCACGGAGGTGTGGTGTGTGTGGATTCAAGGTGAGCTGGGCCTGCCCTGAGCCCACCCTCAGGTGACTTTGGAGCAGTTGCTCTCTCAGGGACTGTCATCTAAGGCCCCTCCTGCCCCAAGAGTGAGACAGGAACTCTGAATTTGGGGTCAGGTGGTTGGAGGGAACAACTTCCTTTATCATTTGGGGGATGAAGAGGTCCCCAATACTATGACTTCATCCTGTGCCCATGTAGATGCCTGAGGCCATCCTGCAACTCCACCCCTGCCAGCCATCCCAGGGTCAAGCACCCTACCTGTCCCCAAAGCTATAGGACGTTGGGACCTCGATGGCCTTTATGCCACAGGACCACCGGGAGCAGGAGACCCTCATGGCTGTGGCTGTGGCCTTGTGGGGAAGGAAGGACAAGGCTGTGGGTTGGGGCCTTTTGTCCCCATCCTCCGCCTGGCCTTGGGATGCCGGGAATCCCCCGACTCTTCCCAGGCACAAGGACATTATCCCCCAGGGTGGCCTTCTTCTGGGGATAGTGCCACTTATTTCCCTCTAAGTCCAAACAGGAGCCAGTGTGTCCCTGGGGCTGGACGGTTCCTGGTGGGACTACAGTGGGAGGGATCTGGGGCTCGGGCCAGGCTGGCAGCCAGTGTCAGCAGCACTTCCCAGGTCTGTCTCTTAGACTCATCAGAGGCCAGCCCCGAGGACAGCTAGGCCAGGGAGGGGACAGCCCTGCACATCAGCCAAARAGTAAGAGGAGCCCACAGCAGCCCTAGGATCAGGTGGGCATTGTCACTGCTTCACCCTCTGCCCCTCATGAGGGCAGTGTCTGCCCCACCCCAGACACCGCCATCCCGTGCACCCAGCCTGCACACCACTGTCCCGGCTGAACTCAGCGAGGTGCCTCAACTGGGGGCTCCTGCTTTCTCGCTCCCCTCTCAGCAGTGCATGGCAGGGGTAACCGGGGGCTTTGCTTAGGGGGCTCTCGCAGGTTCAGACAACAGCCAGCGTCGGACCCCGACACCACGCAGTCCTGGGGACAAAGGCTGGGCACTTACAAGGTGCATGCTCTGACTGTGCCCAGCTCTGGGTCCTGTCCCCACCCACTCACTCCCCTCCCTAAGCTGCCAGGCCAGTTCAAGGGGACGTAAAGCTCTGGGGCTCCACATCTCCTCCTGGTCCCTGGAAAGGTGGGCGCTGCACCCCCCCAATTCCACCGGTGCCTCCTGGGACCCCTTCTCTCTGGGGATGCACTGGGCTTCAGGAAATGAGGTGGAGGCCCCCCCTTTCCCTAAGTGAGATTCCTCCCCTCCCCTCCCCCAGGCAACACACGGAGACCAGGCGGAGACCAGGCCAGGAGGGTGCAGCAGCATTTATTTGGAGTCAGGGAACTGGTCCAGGGGGCAGGAGCCCGCAGGGGCGGCTCTGTCAGGCAGGGTGCAGATGCTCCGGTGGCCGGCTGGGATCAGCAGCCGATGGCTAAGGTCCCAGACACAGACGGGCTTTGGCAACAGCCTGGGAGGTGTGAGGGGCAGCACTGAGGACCAGGGGCTGGCCAGGCTCACAGACAGAGAGCTCCCTCCTGGCCCTGGGAACCTGGGGCCGGGTCCCAGGGAGGAGCAGCCAGAGGGCCTAAGGGGCAGCCCTGCTCCAGGGAGGCCGCTCAGGAGCCAGCACCCCCCACCATGGTCCCCCCCAGCTCTGTGCAGGCCGCACGTGCTCCGGGCTCCGGGCTCAGGGAGGGTTGGCGTGTGGCAGAGCCCCGTGGACTCTGATGCCAGAGTTGGAGGCCGGCTGTCGAGACAGAGCTCGGGCCACTCCCTGCCCGGGCCCTGGGTCTTCTCAGCTGGGAGGTGCTCAGAAAGTGAACTGGGGACAGGGGAGGGCTCTCCACCCTGAGAGAGGAGCTGCCAGCCCGGGGTGCAGATGGCCTCCGGAGACTGGACCAGGCAAGCAAGTGACTCCCCTCTTCCCAGAGGAGGCCGCCCTGCCGGCAGCTGGCCTCAGGGAGGAGAATACATGCTCTGTTTTAAGCCACCGAATCCCTTACAGCTCGGCCAGAAGGGCTTGGTTCTATGGCTTAACCCACATTTATCCTCCTGRAGTTCTGAGGTAGGAGGTCCAGAATGGGCCTCCTGGGCTGGCGTCCTGGGTGGGCAGGGCTGGCTCCTCCTCACCAGGCCCCTCGCCCCCCCCACACCCCCTGTGCATCATGTGGCCTCCTCCTCACTGCACCATGGCTCCTTCTGCCCCACATTTCCCATGATGGAGAATGTCCACAGAAGAGTCAGGAGTGACGTCTCAATCCAGAATTTGCACAAAAGCCAACGTGACATTAGTGGACGTGCCCATGACCAGGTGGCCCCTACAGGAGCCTTGCAGTCCCCTCGTGGCCAAGAGACCAGCCATGACCTGGAGCCTACACATGGCCCAGAGCCCTGGCACAGGCATATGAGATGGACAGGAGGCAACTCTGTCCACCCACTGCCCGGGCCCTGGGGCTTCTCCGCTGGTGAGGTGCTCAGAAAGTAAACTGAGGCCCCTGGAGAGCAGGAGCCGTCCTCCCCTGAGACCCGGAAGGGGACTGAGAGCACGTGYTGGCCCAGCCAGGCCCCTGCTGAGTATGCCCACCTCCGGGCTGCTCGCTGGGCAGAGGGCAGCAGGCGCTGCCTGGGCTGGGCACGGGCAGGGCCTTCCTCCTCTCACCATCTTCTTCCCTCCCTGCCCACGATGACCGCCCTTAACTCATAATAGAAATAGAATCAAGACCCCGAAGGTCACAGACTGCAGCTTTGAAATGCCTGGACCCCGGGGCCTGCTGGCCTGGGGCCCTGCAAGGACATGCTCACGTGCAGAGGCCTCAGGCCACTCACCTCAGCGATGGTGGGCCATGCAGGGATCCGGAGGGGCTGAGAAAAAGCAGGAAGAAGTCACTGTGAGACGAGCCCCCACACCTGCACCCCGCTGGAAATAGGGGAGCCGGAGCCGCCGGTCATTACCAGTGGGAGAAGGGGCCATGACCCTGGCTTTGTCCATCCCTTCACTCTCCACAAACTCCTGGAACATCTTCACCGCCTCTGGTTTCTTTTCCATGGTGGGGCCTGCAGGGCATGGGGAGTGGGCGAGGAGGCAGACCCAGCCGGGGCTGGGGGCTGGGAGGGCACCTCCCCCCAGGCTGTGCKGACCACTCCCCCTCCCCCCCCTGTGCTGACCCCTCCCCCGGGGTGCTCTGGCCACTCAGAGGACTTGAGTCTGCTGACCCAGGGTCAGGACTGGGGAGCAGTGCATTGCTACGAGGGGCTTTGGAAGACCCTCTTGGCCAGCCCAGGGCCTGAGCAGAAGAGCCTTGTGGAGGCCGAGGCCCAGGCGCTTTCCTACAGGAAGGGGTCCAACCGCCCCTCCTGGAGGGCAGACACAACACAGAATTCCCTGCACAGGCACGTCCTGGGGCATGGCTGGCCTTGGGGGGCAGCCCTGGACTTGATACCTGGGGCCTGAGGTAGGAGGAAGAGGAGCCTGCTCTTGGGGACCCCTCCCCCAGAATCAGCCAGCCCCTCCCGAGCAGGACCGCATCTCCCAGCCTGGCCCATAAAAGCCTTTCCCAAAACCCGAGTCCGGGAGCATGACGGTGCCCCCCACTAGTCCTGGCCGTTGGCTTCTCTGGAGGCTACTGGCTGCCACCTCAGTGGCCTCTCTGTAGGGAGTCCACTCCTCACACCAGCAGCCTGGCCAGTGTCACCCCGTGCCCCTGCAGAGCTGTGCCACCCACGGCCCACCTGCTGTGGACCAGCAAGGGTCAGGACAGTGGGTGCCTCTCAGTGCCACAGGACGGGTGACTGAGGTGGGCCAGCATGGCAGGTCCGCCAGGCCGCGAGTACCTATCAGCATCGTCATGTGCATGGTCTTGTCCTTCATCTTCTCCTGGGTGTGCATGATGTAGTACATCTTCATCCTCGTGGCCCAAATGTGGACGGCCTGCTGCTTCTCTGGGGGAAGGGCGCGGTCTTGGTGGAGAGGGCAAGAGCGGGTGGTCTCTGCAGTGCCCGATGGTGGCTGCTACCCCCCACCCTGTGCTGGGGCCACGGAGGCCTCTTGCCTGCCTTCTGTGCGGGTTAGAGGGCAGCTGCCTGGACCTGTGGGGCCCTGGACCCCTGCCAGGGCACAGGGAGGAGAACGTGCCTTGTGGGAACATGCCCAAATGCCAGGGAAACGCTGGCCTCCGTCTCATTGGCCAAGGGACAGGGCCGGCCATCTCCCTGCAGCAGAGGCTGAGCCTACAGGCGGGACGGGAGCCCAGGAGGGGCAGGGGCCGGCAATGGGCAGTGGCATGTCCAGGTCTGCGCTGAGCGCCACTCACCGGCCATGAACTTGGTGGGGTCGTCTGTTTTCCACAGTGTGGTCTTCATCTCCTCACAGTGGCCGGAGGGCTGCCTGGAGCGGAAACCGGACGGGGTGAGGTCTACGCCCTCTCCTCTTAGGTCTCCCATGAAGGAGGAGGGCATGTGGTCCACCTGCTCCTACCCTTTGCTGACCCTGTCCACAGGCACCCACGTCCCTGGCCCGGGCGACAGCAGCACAGGACACATGAGCTCACACACAGGTGTCTCACCCACATGCTGGGCCACCCTGAGACAGCCTGTGGCCCTCCCACACAGGCCCCTCCTGCCGGGCCCAAGTGGGGTCAGTGGTGGGGCCGACAGCCCTGGGCCGGCCACCTCTTTGCACCAATCCGCAGCTCTGCTCTCAGCATCTCAGGAAGCCCCCCGGGGCGGGGGGCGCTGTGCCGGCAGCTCCCAGCCTCTGTGCTTCCTCAGGGTACAGACCTGCCCTGACTGGATGGCAGGGTGGAACTGGCAGGGGCCAACTTTTGCCAACCTGCAGTCCCCAGCTGGCCAGGCTGGGGCTCAGAGGCATTCGCAATTCACCACGGTGTCCTGCTGGCTCCCTGGGCTTCCATTTCTGTTTCTAGATCTGTGCACCAAGCACCTCCCTGGAGGCTGGTGCCACCAAGCTGCACGGGCCTCCTTGGGGCCCCAGACCTGGGGTGGCTGAGGGCACGTCAGGCAGCTCTTGGAGATGCTTGGTCTTGGGCACCACCAGGAAGCACTTGGTGGTAGAGAAGCTCATGAACCTTGTGCCTCCTAGATTTTGGCTGAGCCCAGTGTGAAGCAAGGAGCCACCAGTGACCATGGTTTGAAACCCCAAAGGCCCCAGGGTCTCCACGGACCTCCTAGCAATGAAGGGTACAGCAAACCCAGGCTGCTGAACAGCTTCCCCCCGGAGGGCCTGTGGGACAGGGGCGCAGGAGGCAGGGGAGGCAAGGGAGGCTGGCAGCCTTGTCTTTGAGGCTGTGATGTAAAGGCAGCACGGGCGGCAGGCTGCTGGAAGCTGCCAAGCCAGCGCCCCATGGCTGCAGCCTGATGAAGGCAGGTGAGGGGTGGGAGACACCCCTTCCTTCTGCCCAGCGGGGTGGGCGGGGAGAACCGGAACACCCCTCCAGTCCCACCAGGCACCTACCTGAGTTTTACCTTGATCATCAAGCCTTCTTTGGAGAGCTCCATCCAAAAGGGCGGCAGAGAGTGGGTCATTTGTGGTGGCGGGGGGCTGGTCATCATAAGGCCAGGAATTATGGGGCTCCCCATCCAAAGCAGAATGTGCCACTTTCCTACAAGCTGTGGGGATGCCCCAGTGACCAGAGGCCAGGGAGGAGGACACAGCTCCCCACCATGAGCAGCCAACCATCTTGCCCAGGCAAATCTTTGAGGGTGTGGATGTTCACTTGGGCCTCTGCTGCGTAGGAGGGACCGCCTGGGCCAGAGGCCACCCATGAGCCTCAGGCAGAGTGACCCAGTCCCTCAGGGCCAGGGAGAAGCAGAGGCTGCAGAGTGGGAATGCAGGTGGGCAGAGAGGGGCATGTGGTCCCAGGAGGACGGCAGTGTGGCCTGCAGCTGGCCAGCTCCCAAAGAGGCCAGGGGAAGTGGCCTCTTCCAACATCAGCCCAACAGGAGGCATGGGGATCCCAGGAGGCAAGAGCCTGGAGACAGGTGGCATCTGGACATTTGTAGACCCATGTCCTGCTCTAACAATTCTGTGAGTTTTTGAAAGTCACAAAATCTTGACCAAATGTGAATTTTATATGCCCCCAATGTGTTGTCCTGGGAAAATCAAAACTCAGAGACACAGTGTTTCCAACGGGCTGCTTCAGAGCCGGGCCTTAGCAGGGGAAGAGAATGTCCCTGCAAGACGAGGGACACAACAAAGCCCACCTTCACGGGGGACCAGACAGGCTCCAATGGGGCTGGACCTCCCCTAGCTGCCCGCTGCCCACAGGAGTGTGCTTGCCCAACCCTACCCAGTGCCCCTGTCTCTAGTAAGACACCAAGGGCCTCAGCCAACATCCACCTGGGGCTGGGCCGGTCCAGGAGGGTTCCACTCCCCTCCCGGCCTCCCGGGGTGCTCACCTCCTCAGGCTGGGCGGGGAGCAGCTCCATGGCATGCAGGACGGAGGCCAGGCCCAGGGTCAGCAGGAGCCGCTGCATGGTGGCCGTGCTCTTGCTCTGTGCCCTCCTCTGCTGCCTGGACGCTCTGGTGCCCATTTATCCCCCGCCCTGGGCTGGCCTGGCAACAGGGTCATTTCCATCTCACTTGCTTTTCACAATGGCCACTGAATGTCACCGTGAGGTGGGGCCTCACGTCACTGCSGGAACCTGGTGACTACACACCGCACGTCAGGTGCATGCCCTCGGCAGCCTGTTTTCAGAGAGCTCTTCCCAAGGGAGGGGTCACCCAGCGAGAGGGTGAAAACACCCAGCAACCAGGACCCTTCCTCCCCCTGGCCCAGCACCGCAGCCCGGGCTTGCTGGCCAGTGGCCTCCTTTCTCCACCTCAGGCCCTGCGTTTGGGGATGGAGGTCTGTTGCCGGCTGCTCCTTCCTGTCCATGGACTTCAGCACATCACTGGGTGTCCCCAGCAGACCCTGTGGCCTTTGGCCCTCCCAGGACTTACAGGTGCTGGCTCGGGCCTGCCTGAGGCCCAGGCTCCCATCCTGGACATGTGGAATTGGTCACATGCCCCTCTGCAGTCTTTGACTCACCCTGATGCCCCCTGAGCCCCCCAGAGCTTCAAATGTCCACAGTCACCTCCCTGCAGTCCTCCTCTTCAAGACACAGCTTGCAAGCCCTTGTGGGGCGGGGGTCCCCCAAGATCCCGAGTGAAACTGACCACTCTCTGTGGCTCGGACCACCTGGCACACTGCAGGGGGCTGCCCACCCCCCACAGGGCCGTAGCAATCTGGACACACCCTCTCGGTGAGGCTGGGGTGCTCCTGATCCTCCTGGAACACCAGAACCCAGGAGGCCGGGACGGGGCCACCACAGGGACGTCCCCACCACCGCACTGTCCTGAGCCTCTCCCTCCACTGCTGATGAGCTCTGAGGCTCCCTGCCTCCCCCCAGGGCCCAGCAGGAGACTCCATGGCCACTGGGCCTCAACCACCCCCCGCTTCTCAGCCACAGCGTCACGCTGGTGATGGGGGAAGACGGGGCTGGCCTTCCTCCCGCTGCCCAGGAGGGAAGCACTTTTCTGGCTCAAGGGGGCAGCCCGTCCCACCCGCCTGGCCTGGCCCATTTTTCCTGTTATATCACAATAAGCACATCTTGATCCATGGTTGTGTCGGTGTTGGAAGCTGTTGACACTGGTTGACAGATCCTCTGCAGTAGCCATCCTGGGTGACATCCAGGGACCACTCAGGCCACAAAAGACAACAGGGCTGCCAAACAGGGCACAGAGCACCATGAATGGTGTCCAGAGGGAGAAATGAGGGGTGGTTGAAGGGACTGATGGAGGGTGGATGGAGAGAAGGGGGATGGAGGGGAGGTGGGGGACAGAGGGCTGGTGGATGCAGGGGGAGGGGGTGGGGGACAGAGAGTGGGTGGCTGGAGGGTGGGTGGGTGGATGGCATGTGGATGCAGGATGATCGGGATGATGGGGTGAAGGGGGTGATGGGTGATGGGGTGAGGGGGGTGAAGGGGTGATGGGGTTGAAGGGGTGATGGGGTGATGGGGTGATAGTGTGATGGGGGTGATGGGAGTGATGGGGTAATGGGTGATGGGGATGATGGGGTGATGGGGATGATGGGGGTGATGGGGTGATGGGGATGATGGGGTGATGGGATGATGGAGTGATGAGGTGATGGGGATGATGGGGGTGATGGGGTGATGGGGATGATGGGGTGATGGGGTGACGGGGTGATGTCTTCCCTAGCTCACCTGGGATGGTCCATTTAGATGCTCATCCTTGGGCCCCTCTAACTTTCCGAGGTGTTTTCAAGTCCATCGTCACTTCTGACCCCACCAATCAGCCTCCCCTGCAGGTGACGAGAAGGAGGTACAGTGTGCCAAGAGCCTGGCCTGCGTCTACCCATTGTTGGTGGCCAAGGTCRGCACAGAGCCAAGACTTCTGAGGCCAGGTGAAGCTGCTGCCGGCTCAGGGACAGAGCAGGGCTTCCTCCTCCTCCTCCTGGGGCCTCCTGGTCCTGGTGTGGGGCCCAGGGCGGCACCTACCCCCTGCCAGGTTCTGCAGCCCTCAGGCCAGCCCACCAGGCCCCTCTGTGTCTTGCTGGCCCGGTCTTTGCCTCCTGAGTGAGGGATGGTAATTAGCCGAGTGGGGAAGAGGCATCTGATCTGCCTCGGGCTGAGGGCAGGCTCGAGGCTCAGGGGCTCAATGTGGGGCTCAGCGTCCTGACCACGGTCCCTGTCACCGATCCTTGTCTCCCACCCACAGGGACTGGCCCRGAGGAGAAGACTAGATCCTTATTTCTCACCTTGCACGAAAATCAACTCAAAATGCACCGAAGACCTTGGAATTGGACTAGAAAAGGTGCAACTCCTAGAGGAAAATGCAGGGTCAACACTCAGCTTGTGGGCACAGACAGCGGCTTCTCCATAGGACCCCTCAGCTCAGGAAATGATGCCAGAGTTAATAGACGGGATGGCATCAAATTAAAAATCTTCTGCACAGCCAAGGAACGGGAACGTGAAGGGAGAACCCACAGAATGGGAGAAAATCTTTGTTAGCTGCTCTTCTGACAGAGGACTAATATTCATATTAAAGAACTCAAAAAACTTTATACCCAAACCCCGAAATAACCCAATTAATGAACAGACAAATCAAACGGACACTCTCAAAAGAAGAAATCCAATGGCCAACAAATATATGAAAAACGTTCAGGGCTGGGCCGGGGCTCAGTGGTGGAGAGCTTGCTACCATGTGTGAGGTGCTGGGTTTGATTCTCAGCACCACCTAAAAATAAAGGTCCATCAACAACTAAAAATATATAAAAACAATTTTTTAAAAAAATGTTCAAAATCATTAGCAATTAGGGAAATGTAAAGCAAAGCTACACTGAGATTGCATCTCACTGCAGTCAGAATGGCCGTCATCAGGAATGCAAAGAGCAATGATTGTGGAGAGGTGGAGAGGTGGAGAGGAGGTGGGGGAAGGGAACTTTTACCCTGTTGGTGGGATTTAAGTCAGGGCAGCCACTGTGGAAACCACGTGGAGGTCCTCAGAAGACTAGGCATGGACCACCATGTGACCCAGCTGTGACACTCCTCAGTATTTGTCCCGAAGAATCAAAGTCATGGTGCTCCGTGGTCCATGCACACCCGAGGTCACAGCCGCAAACCATGGAGCCGGCCGCGGTGTCCTCGGTGGGTGGGCGGATGGAGAGAATGTGTTTGTACACACGGGAGCTTTACTCAGCCCCCCCCCCCAAATACAAATAAAATCATGTCAGGGGCAGGAAAAGGGAATTTGAGGACATTAGGTCACGCAACATAGGCCAAACTCAGGAGGTCAAGGTCACGTGCTTTCTCTCATTTGTGGAAACTAGAGAGGACAAGGAGAAGAAAGGTGTGGGGTGACTCCCATGGAGACCCAGGGGCTGGGGGAAGAGAGGGACGTGGGAGGAAGGCGGCGAGGGAGGGGGACGCGCTGTTGTTGTTCATGTTGTTCTGCTGTGTGTGCGCATGAGTGTGTGACACAAATCCACCACAGTGTGCCACTGTCACACACCAGTAAAAATATGGCTCCAAGAAAAAGGATAGATAGGTTTATCAAGAGAATCCACACGTGGGCTGGTGGTGGCTCCGCGGTGGAGCACTCGCCTAGCACTTGCAAGGCCCTGGGTTCGGCCCCCTGGGTTTGGTCCCCTGGGTTTGGTCTCCGGCATCACATATAAATAAATAAAATAAAGATATTGTGTCGGACTACAGCTTAAAAAAATATTTAAAAAGAAGAGAATCCATGCGGGCAACAGATAACGGAGGTGAGGATACATGGAGTGACGCTGGTGTCACCTGACGGCACAGGGTGGAGAGCCCAGCTCTCCTCCTGGCATGAAGGGAAGTGGACAGACTAGCACAGCCGATGTGGCCTGACGTTGGTCTCACGCAGAACGAGCAGTCAGAGAGACGTGGCCCACACCTGGACCGTACAGCAGGCCCACCCAACCGCAGAGCTGGAATAGACATCCATACCAAGGGACAGGGAAGAGCTGGGGATTAACCAGTCACACCTGAGAGCCAAGGAGCGGGGGCTGTGGCTGTGGYTCAGGGGGAGAGCACTTGCCTGGGGTGTGGGAGGCACTGGGTTCGAATCTCAGGATCACATAAAGTCAATCAATAAAAAATGAAGATATTTTAAAAAAACCAATGAGTGAACTTCACAAGGGAAATTCAAAAATAGTTTTAAATGAATAAAAATGAGGACAAAATCTACTGAACCTCGCAGGCTGAAGCCAACACAGTGTAGGCGGGAGCTCTGAAGCACGGAGCGCTTGCATGAGGCAACACCCAGCCTCGCTTCAGCAGCCAAGCCCGCAGCTGCGTAAGGCGGACCTGGAGGCGAGGACTGGAACGTGAGCAAGCAGGAGGAAAACAGCCACCTGTCAGCCGGGGACAGGAGCCAGGAAACACTGCAGGACGCAGGAGCCAGGGGCTGGCCCGACGGTGAGATCAACAGTGGGTAGCTCTCCAGCAGGACTGACAGGAAAGCCAGGTGGGGACACAAATGGCCACCATTGGGGAGAGAAGGGGCATCCCAGGGTGAGGGGTAGCTGTGAATAAGGTCATGGAAATCTTCTGGAGCAGGCCACCCGTGCTTGAGGCGCCCAGCCTCGGACTCAGGCCCCCGATGTCAGCCGCGGTGCCCACGGGGGTTGATTCAAAATGACCRATGGGACCCCTCAGCTTTGTCCTTGGAAACTGGCAGGTGCTGCGACCCCTCTGGACCCSCCACAGCTCAGGAGGGCGCCGCTCCCTGCCACCTCCAGGCCCCTGGGATGGCTTTGGCTCTCTTGTGTCCCTGGCCTTTCCTTCTTCTCCCCGTGACGACTCGAGACCCTTGTCCCTGCTCTCAGGACTTCAGGTGAAAGGCTGGCTCTGCTGGGCAGGTCCAGGGGCCCTCCTGTCTGCACCCCGCCCTGGCAGTGAGCCCTTCACCCCATCCTCCCAGGGCACCTGCTGGGCTCACCACAGGG